TTTATTTTGCACTCGTATCGTCCCTGTGGTTTGATTTTGTTGCATTTTTCGTCCCTGTGGTTTGGTCAAAATTGCATGTTTGGTCCCTAACTTTATGTATGTAAGGGCCGAAAAACACAACAAAATCAAACCACAGGGACGAAAAATGCAACAAAATCAAACCATAGGGACGATCCGAGTGCAAAAGAAAAGTTAAGGACTAAACGTGCAATTTTAAACAAACCATAGGGACGATTTCAGTAATTTACTCTTAAATAAAACCATAGTTATCAAAACCTCTCGTCAAAACATAAGTCAAAGTATCTAAAGACATCAAGATCATGTTTATAAAATAGAACATCATATCAAAACATCAGAGTAAACATCTTAGGCTGAAATATCATAGTGAGTGCAATGCAATCATCCCGAGCTTTTCCATTTGCTACCAGATGAACCTGAAACCAAAACTGTAAACCATAAGCATGAAGCTTAGTGAGTTCCCCATACTACCACATACCATACATATAATAACATAATAACATATCATGGGCCTTGCCCGCTTCATCGGGTCCCGCCCAGCATCGGACAATATCTGGCATCGGGCCTGCCCAAAATCGATCAAAGCTCGGTATACTTATAAACATATCAACAAATACACATAAATGATCAAATAACATAAACATTTAAACATTCCTCGGTCCCACCCCGACATCGAACCAGAATCCGAAAACATACAAACCTTCCTCAGGAATTGCCTAGCATCTGACCGTAATCTAGAAACATGCAAACATTCCTTGAGCATTTCTTGACATCAGACCGTAATCCAAAAACATACAAAATAGATACATGCAAGAATCACAAAGACATCAAGCATACAAACATTCCTCGGGCAAAGCCCCGCATTGGATCAGAATCCAGAAACATATAAACCTACATCGGGCACTGTCTTACATCGAACCTTGGTCCAGAACATACTAGCATACATATGCAGGCCAACATTGGTGCCTTCAGATCGTTCATACAGGAGGAAACTCAACTCACACTGCTGAAGTCTTGCGAATAAGTCTCAGCGTTGTTGGCTAACAGATCCTCGAACTATCAATCATCAAAAGGAAACCTAATTAACCATTTGGGTTTCAATGCATAACCATAAATCCACACTTAGGGTAAAAGGAAAATTTAACTCTTAACCTAGCTTGGTCCAAGACCAAGGCCTAACTCATACGCTGAAGGCCCAAAAGTCAAATAATGATCCAAGATCCAACATATGGGCCATTTTTCCAAATTGGGCCCAAACCCTTCACATGGGCCTTACCCTAAAGCCCATCCAAATTTCCTAGTCCATATACTTGTTATTAGATGGCCCATCAAGAATCCAAACATGTAAGCCTAGCAGGAAGCCCAACTCAAAACCCTACACAATTAGGGTTTTCAAATAAAATGACGATTAGGGTTAATTCAAAACTTAATCCATCAAGTCCATCATTCTACTAGGTCAATCATATGGTGTGGTCGGGCATAATTATAATACAATTCCAATGGTTCAAAATGTGGGTCCCGACAACCAAAAACTAACATATCAAAAATTAGGGTTTCTAACCCAATCGTGTGCCAATTAGTCCATCGGTTAAGTTTTTAGGTTTATTAATGTTAATTAAGTCGGACACCACCCACTACCACCTCGGGTAGTGGTGGTTAACGACGACTCAAGGCAGTAGCCACCACCTTGTGGTGGTGGTTATGATTATAAACCAAAACATGTTCAAGTACCTAAACTAGCAATCCAATCACACAATGCACACCGCCACCCAACACAGCGGCTGGTGGCGGTAGAAGGCGGCAACCACCACCTCACGATGGTGGTGGTGGATTTTCCTTGATTATTCCAGCCACAAAATATGATTATACAACATAATATCCAAAATAAACACACACACACAATAAAACACACGCACACACATAGCCACCCTCGTGGCGGCAGGCGGTGGTTGGATTCGATAGCCACCACCTCACAGTGGCTTGTGGTGGTAGAAAACAGTTTCAAGGAAGCAACCACCATGGTGGGGTTTTCCCTTGTTCTCCGGCTAAACAATTACAAACATACGACATACATAACCAGCAACAACATCAAAACACTAAATTCGAACAAAAGCACCCACCTGGTGGCATGCAGTGGTCGGAGGGCGGCACTGAAAAGGAACAGCCACTAAGACGGCAGTGGCGACTTAACAGAGGAAGAAAGAAAAGAAGGAAAATGATTCAAAAAAGCAACCATGACAATCGTGACGTCCGACACTGGCTGCATGCGAGATTGACTTCAGGGCTTCCAGCTTTGTCGGCAGCAGCGTCGCAGTAGGTTGCTCGGTTGTTCACAGTGACGGCTGGAGCATGGAGGTATAAGGGTGGCGACTAATGAGCATGAGCTAGGTTTTGGGTTTTGGAGGTGATGAGCTTTAAACGGGAAGGAAGAAGCCACCGGGTTCAAGTCCCGTATTCATTTCAAACTTTTACTCATTTTTCCAATTTTGGTCCCTCCCCATAAAATCTTTTTTCATATTAACTCTCAAACTTACCAAACAGCCCTTGCCTTCTGAAATATTTACAAAGCAACTCTAGAAATTACACTTTTAACCCCGAAAGTCCAAAATTATGACATTTAACTCCTTAAAGCCAACACCTTGCTAAATTACTATTATTGATTTTGTCTACATTAAAATAATATAAAATATAAATTTACATCTTCGGGTTCTGGGTTTACTAGTTATTTACTTAATTTCAAATGGAATATTACAAACCCCATTCCTAGTGGACGCAATCTAGGCTTCCTAACATTCTAGAAAAGCAAAGCATGTGTGAGTGATAAGTATACAATTGTTGGATGTCACTACAAGTAGGTTTGCGCAGATATCGTCGACCATATAATCTCATTAAATACTTGCAAGTTTTGTGAAGGCTAGTTTGTGCAACACGTCCAGACATCCTAAGGTTCTCCTCTATTGCATTGGGGCAAGTTACACACACTAATCGACGAAGTGTAGTGGTGCATTTTTGTATAGGAGTAAAACCAATTGTACATAGCATCTCGACGTTGTTGAAAAAATGGACAAGCTGTCATGACGTCGTTCACTATACATAAAAATAGAGATTTATGCATACGGAACCGACGACGAAAATAATATCCTATAAAGGTGGTGTCATCCATAAAGTAATCTTGCATGAGTCGATCATTAGCCACCTCACGAAATCTTTGTATGTATCTTTTCTTCCTTCGGCGTGCATTCTAAGAATTTTCTTCTTGTAGTCGTTTGATCATCTGCTCCGCCTCCTGAACAACCTCTATAGTCGTTTCAAGCAAGGCATCAAACATGGCTGATGAGGAATATGAAGAAGACATTTTGAGTGAGTATATTGTAGTTGTAAAGTGGATGTTATTTGTTAAAATGAGTTGAAGTTGTAGTATTTATAGGAATTTTAAGAAAACAATGGAAATAGTCGTTGCTAGCTACCCCCATCTTCCTATTGGTCATCAATACTTGGCGTATATGAACCTTGATGCCGAGTCGAGCTCGGCAAGCCGAGGGGTCGTCCCGGTATGCGCCGAGATTACCGAACCCACACTATTAACGTTACCTTGTACAGTCACGTTAAACTTAACGAAAGACCTAGACAGAGCGTTAACATGTTAGTACCTTGGCTGAGACCTGGTCTTGGCCAACGCGATCCATCGTTGGGTTCATATCTCACTTCCCATCACAAGGAAAGAACATTCCGCATGATCTCCTCATTCACCCACAGCCAATCAGAAGACGACGAATAGCTCAGGTGACTCCCAGAATTGACGTTACCTAGAAACTATTTAGCATGGGAAAATCTCCTAGTAAGAGGAGGCCACATCTCATGCTAATCAGACTAGGTCCTCACAATCTGTTAGAAGAAGGTATAAAAGGATCTCTTACGCCTAAAGGAAGGGATCCATCTTCTCTCTTACTGAATTTACCCTAATTCTCCCTCTCATAAAACTAATTGCATCGTCAGAGTGACATCCTGCGAGAACACCCGGTCATCCTTTAACTGTTCTTCTTTGATTGTGTTCTTATGAAAGCTCCCAAAGTAGTTACATCATCAATCATCCAAACCCCTTGAAGAGCATATCACAGCATTTGGCGCCATCTAGACATATCCTCAGCGTGATACAACTTATTAACAACATTGGTTCTTCGTAAAACACCGATCTATGCCCGACAACACCTACGGTTGCAATACCAGATTTGTTTCCAATAGCGGTGGTGACAACTTACAAACACCACTGCGAAGTATAGAACGCAGACTTCAATCCAGGCACTCATGCCACAAATCTCACTGATTATGGCCAGTACTCTAGAGCAATTTTCGACAACTGTCATCGAATGGTTCATCGTCCCAGACGGCGATATCGCATCCTGATGTGCTGCAGAAACATCTGCATGACGACATGGAGGTACTTACTATCTCTCATCCTCATAAGAGAAACATGACTCATAAAGCAAGGGACGAAGTAGAGGTACTCTCGAGAAATCTACTCAATATCAGTTTTTCGAGCAACGATCCCAGACCATTGAACTGGGATTCGAGAGATCTGCTCCTCATATTTGGATTTATTTGTAACACGAAAATCCATCGAACATATATCAACAACAGTAGTTGCTCTGATATACTCTACAAGCACTGTTTTAGACAACTACCAGACGAGTGGAAGGGGGGGTTGATAGGGTTCACTGGATACAGTTTATGGCCATTGGGCAGAATTCGACTGCCCTTAACGATGGTCAGTCACGACGAGAGGGGTCTAATCACAAGAACAATCAAATTCTCTGTGATCTGATATCTGGCAGAACACAACATCCTGCTCGGATAATTGGCAATCTCCTCACCACACCAAGTACCATCAACGATCCATGGCATAATTAAATTTATCAAAGGCTGATGGAAA